ATTTCTGCAAGTAAATATTATTTCAGAAAACAATTTTATGAAAGAGAAGTAGTTTTTCTAACTCTGGAGTACCAGATACACATGTACACTCATTCCATACCAACTTACCTAGCCACATCAAATGATTGTGCCTTTTGCAGTTTTGTGTTTAGCTGCGATCCTGGACCAGATCTACTAAAGGAAGAACTCTTTGGCAATGTGGCTGTAAATAAGAAAATACATGTATTTATTAGTATTAGCATTTTAAACTGTGGAATTTCAATGACATTCATTTAGTTCCTAACATCAAGTACAAGGATTATGGTGGTAACCCTTTCAAAAATATTAAGATAAGTTAACAGTGTCTAACAAAATAGGTGAAAACACACAGGTACTTCTCTCATGTCTTTTTACTTTTGCAGTTTTATGCAAACTGTTGGTATCAAATAATTTTGTAATTAATGTTAGAAATTATATGTATTCCAGTATTTTAAAGTAATCCCAACAAATAGCAGCCCTTCAATAGTTAATAAACAGATAAGAGAAGACCAATTTCTAGGCAACAGTTTATTGGCAAGCTAGATTTATCACACTTCTATTATAACAGGGTTAATATTTTGCTCAGCATGACTGACTGGTACAGTATAGTATGTCCATGTTTCTTCTTTTAACTTCTATATAAGTTTGCTAACCAATTATATGGGGCTAAACCAAAATACAGCCCTTACCCAAAGTCATTCTTTAAAGCAAGTTAGAATGGCTAATTCCATGTCTACTGTTCTCTGGATCCAAAGAAAATGGCAGAATAATTTGTTAATAGCAAGACAGTAAACAGAGTCTCACTATGTAGCATACCAGGATGAGCAAAAGCAGGCAGAGGCTGTATAACAGCAGGAGCTCCATTAGCCAGGGAAGGTACGGCTGCTGCAGGAACAGAAGATACTAATGGTGGAGACATTCCTACTACTGGAATAGATGCCATTGGCACTGGGGCAACACTTGTAAGAGACGGCATGCTGGCAATGCCCCCAATACCTATGAGCAAGAAAAGGAGATATTTTTTCTAATTTAGATACTCCTAATATGAGATAACAATTTAACTTCAGCCTGCAACCCAGCAGCAAATGCAGAATTAAAGAGCAAATTGAAATGGAAACTTCCACACACCCCTTGAAAGAACCCTTAACAGTCCACTGCACCATTAGCATGGCAGGGGAATATAAAACAATGCAGAGGGAACAACATATCACTTTATAATGTATGCATGTAAGATCACATTGGATGCAACACTGATCAAAAAAATCTATTAGCATTTGCTGAAGAAAAGAATTGTTTGCCTTGAACTAAATGAAGAGCAGCACTGTCAACTTCCAGTGAGTAATGAACCCAAAGCCTACATTTAACCACAGCTGAAAAGAACAAGCTTGAGGATAACTGCTTGCAGCCTATTGTCAAGATGAAACAGTGCAAAGCTAATAGGGTAAAGCACAGTAATGAGGTATTTTAGGTGTAAGCACAGTTGCATGAATAACAGGGAGGTTAAGGAGGTCCAGTCATGTCATTGGGAAGAATGAGGTTGTATGCAAACAGCTGAGATCAAGTTTACAATGAACGAGAAAAAAGCAAATCACAGATTTTACTGGTTTTCTCAGGGTTTTGACTTTATCATGCCTTTTCGCACTTAAACCAGTATTTGTTCTGTTCAATTTCACTGATTTCTTACAGTCAGAAATAAAACTGTTTGTAGAACTTGTGGAAGCAACAAATGATCAAACAACACAGTTGCACACAGTTTATCAAATGCACTATTCCCTTTTCTTAAGGACAGCAGTGATTCTCAGGCACCGATCAACTTGAGACACAGCAACAACTAAAAGAGAAAGGTAAAGAACCTCTCACTACAGAACATCAAGGTGTCAAGCATGAAGTTCAGCTTTATTTATTTATTTACCTCTCACTATCCCATCTTCCCTACTCTTTTGCTAGAAATGCTGGCAACCTTGGCAGTACTACCCACAAGAACTGAATCAGCAGCTGCTCTAGCTAATACCAGTGCAGCACTGTTCATAAAATAAAAGCAGAGGGGTGCATTACTACCATGATTTGTAAAAAGTCACAAAAAACATAGCTAATCTTGCAAAAGCTGGAGATCCCTTAATGAAAAAGGAGATAAATAACAATAGTTTAAATAAAAACTATCACTTTGGAATGCACTACACCTGCTACCTGATCCACCTTTTTTACGCACAGACACTTTTGTTTGGATGTAGAGGGAGCAGTATAAGACCTGAAGCAAACAGGACCTCAACTTATGTTATTCAGTATGGTTGGGTGCTAAAAGCTCATTGAGATTTTTTTTGGAGCATATTCATGCATGTCGTAGCAGTTGGTTTTGATCCCACGTACTTTTAGAAGTACTTTTTCCTAAAAGTTTCTAAAAGAAACTTCAGAATGACAACCAAATTCAACTTAGGTTGCTACAATCCAAGCTAACAAAGAAGAAAATAAAGAGCTTACCAAATCCTGGTGGTGCACTAGGCAGAGCAATGGGTGGCTGCTTCATGACAGGAGGCAGTGCAGATGGGAGTTGATAACCTTGTAGTTTTAATTTGATAAGTTTCATAGCTATTGAAAACTCCAACTGATCCATCCTCCCATCATTGTTCGTGTCAGCTAGAGCCCTACAAAATACACGATTTTCACAGTTAGATGCTCAAATTATGAACTTCAGGAACTGACCTAGGAGCGTGCACACATATGCATATTGAATATGTATATTCAAGAGTAATTAATTTATCCTCAAAATAATTACGCCAGGCTAAAAATGGTCATGAAACAAAACACTGTTTAAGCCGACAGATTCTCAATTTCTTTCTTGTAGTAATTAAAAATATATTTAAAGTCACTTTTCAACTCTTAGAGGAACTACAGTGAAGCATCTAGAGAAGAAAAATTAATGCAGTTCTACAAAAATTTTGCAAAATAACACAAATGAAACTACATGGTACTACAAAGAGCACCACAGGGAATCAAATTACTTAGTCTGCAGGTCTGTACTTTAACTACACTTAAAATAAAACATTCTTTAAATCTGTGCACTTTACTAAACACCATTACATCTGTAAGTATACAAATGTGTTTTCAGTTAAACAATACTACTCAAGAGAAAACATTGAGCCTAGACCTTGAATAACTTTCATGTAAAGTAGTCTGACTTAAACAGTTGCCTTTTTGTTTCTTCATTTGATGGTTAAGAAAACCATGCTCAGCAGGGAACAGGGTTGGGAGGTTGTGGGGAGAGAAGCAGGAAGACTAATGTTATTTCCTACAATTGCAAACCAAAAACCAGACTAAACGCATATTAATAATGTAATCAGTTGTAAATTTAGTTTTAAACATTATGCTTACTCCTTTGCATTCATCTGAAAAATTAAGTACGCATTTCAGTATTGGAATAATATCTTTTAAGTTCATGCATACATTTACATGTCACAGACATGACAACACAAAGGACCCAGGCAGTAGTTAAACTAGAGCTTTATTTCTGACCAAATCTGTGTCAAGGAAAGCTTTCATGCAAGTATGTGAAAAGTTATCAAAAAGATATTGCAATAAATTGACAGTTATTTATAACTGATACTTAAACAAGTAGGCAGCCAGGTAAATGCAGTGGCAAAGTATTCACAAAAGGAAAACCCTCCCACCCCTACCAAAAAAACCCTAAGAAAACCCAGCAAGGAAGGAGATCCCAGCAGGGGTTGCCACAGGTCAACCATACATCCTAAGTTTCCCCTAGTTTAGATCACCAGTAGCATTTCCCCAAAAATGGAGACACTCCAACCCTTCCTGATACTTGTAAGACAGCATTTTCAGCAGTGTAGCTGTCCTAATCCAACAATTTTGATGTCATGATGCCAAATAATACTACTAAAAATCTGGCAGCAGCATTTAGAGAAGACAGACAGCATCTGGTGAGGAAACTGTAGACCCTGAGGCTTACAGTTAAAAAGTATGCGTTACACCACTCCCTGAAAGATGATGAGTTACTGCATATATTTCACTGAATAACAAGTTTTGGTTGTGAGAACTTCTAGCAGTTGTTTCCTGAAGCTTCATATCACAAGGAAGTTTAATTTACACATAAAATCTGCCTGCTTTTCAGTAACTTTACACCTTCCTCTAATCCCACTACCGGCAAGTCTTTGGAAACCTAAATTTTATCAAAACTGATTCTGGGACCCACATAGCATAACGTGATTTGGATTCAAGTTTCAGTCACGACTGCTTAGTATGTGGTTCATGTGGCAAATAAACAGTCAAAAAGATCTTACTGTAGCAGTCAGACTACTACGGTAGTCCAACCAGCAGAAGAGGGAAGGCCAGCATGGCAAACCTGGATCAAAAGTAGTACAAATTTGGAATGGGTATCTCCTCTTCCTTGCAGAACACCACTGTCTAGAGTCTCAGCTTCTGATCACTCTTTCACAAAGAGCAAGGAACACACTGGTACCTCCTGGTGTATTGGCAGGCTAAGTTAAAGTGGAAGATGTAATATTTTTTTCTTCATGCAACTTGCAGAGAGAAGTGGGAGAACTCTAGTGAACGCAGAGGAGCCTCTCCTCTCCTCTGAGTGTTAAGCAGCAGCTGTTAATGAAAAATGTGTATTTCAAAATGAAAGGTATAGTTACTTCTAGAAAACAGTTGTGTGAAAAACAGAGAGAAGGCTTCTCACATTTTGTTGTTGAGGTTATCCATGTTCTGTTAATTCTGAAGTGCAACGGCTTTCTCTGGACATAAAAAGCCTAAGATTTTATTAGCTTCCATCATATCTTTCTGTCCAGGGGGTGTACACAGCACAAGCTACTATATGCAAACCTGCAAATAGACTGCATGTATGCAGTATGTAGTGCTTTTTCTCCTATACAATGAAACAGGTATAAACCTCAAAAAAACAAGTTTGCATCTCTCAAATTTTCTCTACATCAGAAATGTTTATGTCAATTTAAAATTCCTGTAAAAAGCCCAAACTGATTTTGAAGGACTTCATAATTTCACTACGACAATTAAGAATACCCACTCTATCTATTTTTCAACAATAGCATGGAAGCGTCCCACAACATGCTGTAGAATTTTTGCTGCCCAAAGTCATCACTTAGGCTTACAAGGAACAGTATTACTCAGTACATTTTCATTGTCTTCTTCATACACCTCTTTTTACAACCAAAACAGTTCATATAATGTCCATTAGTCACCACCTATAAATAGTGATGTTAGATTTCTAAAAGTCTCACTTGGGAGAAATACATGCTGCAAGTCTTAGAAACCTGAAACATTCAAGAGGCAAAAGGTATTTGGAGTGTTAGAATGTCAGAAACTTAATGGATAAATGTAGTTTCTGAAGTGCTCCCTTTTGTGGGTTTTGCGCTAGAAAGTAAACTAACATACAGTGAATGAATACCGAGGATAAGAAAGTCTCATTAGAAAATTACAGAGTGTTAAGAACAATGGAAACCAGGAGCAGATAATTAGCTTCAGTTAATTGATGCTTACAAGCAGAAACCACACCTTTCTGATAGTAACCAAAGAAAATTCAAAAATATTCAACAAGGGAAACGCATGGGTTTTTTAATGAAAGTTTAGTTGAACACTTGCTTAGCCATTCTTCTGTCAGATGTCCAATGGAAACGGGCAGTAAAAATCAGGCTTATATAGCTAGCGAGCTGAGGATGTGCATAGGAACAAAGCTAGAAAAATTGATCTGGATAAACCTATTTTAGCAGATTTTTGACTGTACTCCAAGCAGTCAGTGGTCCTCCCAAAGATGACTTGATCTTCAACGTATGGAGCATAGTGACCAAAGGGCAGCACCAGTTCAGATAGTCACAATGTTCCTTACACTTCTGCATTTAAGCAAAGTAATTGCACAAGTTGTATTTGTAATAGTCTTATTTGTTCAAGTGGCTTCTATACCTGCAAATACTTTGATTTATAAAATTTAAGCCTTTCCATTACTAAAGCACAGGCAGAGTCCCTCAACCTGTCATATGCGTGGCCATGAAAATGCAGCAAGAGTAAATACCTTGCTGTAGGCAACGTTGATTCTCCAGGCACTATTTACAGAGTGCACTGCTAGAACACAGTAAGTCTTTGCATTCTACATGAGAAAATATTAATTGTCCAGTAATAAGAAACTTTGATGTGCACCAGTCTCATTGGTTTAATTGTCCTTCTATTCACATAACCATCAGTAGCTTTTAATTTAACATCTGACCTTCTGTTCAACTAATTTAGTCTATGTCAATGGCTCTTTTATTTACATTAAGAGCACAAATTTCATTGAGAAAAATTATGTACACACTATAGAATTTATACACATTTTTACAGCATGCTAACAAAAATCAGCTTTTGTCTGACAAAATCATTAGTGCAAAAATAGAACAAATTTCCATTTCTGATTACTGAACCTAATGAAATTCTAATGAAATTTGGAAGAAAGTAATTTCCTTAAATTTGTTTCATTTAAGGTCTGTCCGGAACCAGTGCAGAGCAGTAAATGGATTAAACACTGACTAAATATTTATCATATTTTATAGAACAGGCCTGTGTTTATAACAGGGGTTTTCTCATGAGAATAGCTGCAGTGGGCTTCATCACAATGCTAGATTTCAGGTGCTAACAAAATTCTTCCCCTACAAATTTTTCCCTCCTCCTTCCTCTCCTTTTCTCTGCAGAATTCAAAGACAGACAACTTGATTATTTTTGCATTTATGAAGCACAGAAACTGAGCATACAGGCTTTTTTCCATCAAATATGCTTATGATTAGCCTGCAAAACTTCTATCTCCATGAAAATAGCACAGTGTTAAAACAAGGGAACCTCCCTGCAGTTCAAAAAATCTGGATTTATTTAGCTTTACGTTCCCATATTAGATTATACAATCCCATACTGCATTTTATAACGCAGCCATCATGGGAGAAATTAGGTCTTTATCACAGTCAATTAATCCATGTATAGTAAGAGTTACAACTCAGAATTGCCACCCATAATCTTTCACTCCCACACTTGGGACACACATTTAAGAAGGTTGTGAGGGGAGCATATGTCAAAAATATGTAAGTCAATCAATGGCTTTAGTCTGCCCTGGAAACATAAGTAACTCTAAATGCGTGAAAAACAGATGGCATTCATTATTTTAGTTCTCATTCAATTCCAGCGATACAGGCTACACAGAAGATGCTTTTTGAGGCCACCATTCTTAAGGGCTTTAGAAGAAAGCCAGATTATTGCCTACTTAAAAACAGTCATCTCCCGAGCCATTGCAGTCTCAATTCAAAGCCTACTTACAGGCTTCTTAATAGATTACCAGCTTGGCAGACTCCAAAGCTTGTAAAGGGTAGAACAGTAAGGAAGTTGTCACGACAGACCATAATAAACCCACTAATTTGATCCACTAAGGTCCCAGAGACTTCTTTTTTCTCAAATGAATGATGAGTAGAAGGGACATAGGAATTCTCAATGCTAAAAACCATGGAGCTACTATTCCGAAGGTATATGACTTCTGGAGAAGCTCTAATTAACAGCAGAAATTAAGATAAAATATATTCCTTGGAGTCTCATCTTAAAAAACAATTACACCAACTGCAGAATATTCTCAAAGCAGATCTTGAGGCAGAAGACTCAGGACTCAAAGAAGCTGGTACTTCAGCTATCTAGCTAGTTAGCATTTCTTGAAGTGCTAGTGAAAATTATTTCTTTGCGATACAAAAATTCAATTTTAATTAAAATATAAGACTGCAAAAATCCTTATACTGCTCATTTATGCAAACAAAATTCTCACACTCATGAGATAATACGTTTGGAAACTTATCGAGATACAGGGCTTTCTTTTTCTGCAGACAGCTCTGAATGCAGTATGGGCAATCACTCATTAGGTCAATCACCCCTGCAGTCCCTTTCCCAGTTGTGGTTTTCTATACAAGAACGTCCACAGTCAACAAAATAGATGAAAGTTTGTATTAGCATAAGCTTGTCTACATGCATAAGTAATCCGTTATGAAACAAATGCTAGGCTCCTATCTTGCAGACAGATTAATATGATCAGCTGTAGACTCATTAAGAATAGGAAAACACTTCCAAAACACAACATACATACACTTCCATATTTCTAGCATCAGAAAAATAATTTGAAGAGTTTTACAAGTTGCTCTAGTTCAGAATAACAACTTTCCTTCCTTACAGACTGTTGTACCTCTCCTTCTCTCCCTCTAATAATCAAATGCTATCAAAAAAAAAAATTCCATCTATTCAGGGAATAAAGACTACTGATAGAAAAGAAGTTTTATGCAGCTCATATCTCTCATGGAGATTCTGGGCTTACAAATTCAGAACTCCTCCCTCTATTAAAGTACTCATGGATCTATAGCAACGTTAATATTTAAATAGACAACATTAGAATATTGCTATTAATACACAAAGCAAGTGTGCCACTTGAAGATCTTACACCTGGGAGCCAAGACAAACAATGATTCACATTTTTAAATGCAGTCTTAAGTATATTGTGACATCCTTTGGAGGCTACAGAAGACTTCTTGCCACTAAACAGTCTATTGTTTCTATGGGACAGCAGTAATCTGTTGTAGGTTACAAACAAACATTCACTGATAGATGAAAAGAGTTAAATCATTCTAGCTGTAGGAAAAGAAAGGGGTTTTCCTTTCTTTTTTTATTTTCTTCTTTTTAAGGGGTCTTATTATGACTATACGACTATTTTCCTACCTGGTTATTTGATTTCCAACTGGGAATATATACAAGCGATCGAGATTTTTACTTAAATATTTACTTCTCTTAATCAGAGAATCAAAATCAAAAAAAGGAGACAGCGAGAAAGGGATGTCTACATGCTTTTTTTATGATTTACAAAGGCAGCATGAATAAGTTTTAGTTCAGCTTTATTTAAAAAAATGTGCAAGTTCAGGTCTTGTCTCTATGACAACTACAGAACTCGTGGAATGACTGTCTCCCTCTCAAGAGGCTAAAAAACTGAATAATTCAGAGAGGAAGAGATTTTTAGTCAGACCATTTACATCTGTTTAATTTTGTTAAACTCTTATTTAAAGCTAATACCTACGGAGCATTTTTGGAGAAAGGATGTCTTGCTTAAGACAAAACTTCTTTGTTTAATTAAGAGGCAAGGGAAGTTCCAAAGGGACATCTGAACTTTCACTGAATCTTCAACCAGACCAGATCTGATATTTGTAAGATGAAGATAATTTGAAAAGAGAGCAAGCTATTTATTTAAAAGCAGTGTAAATCCAGCCCCTCTTTTAGGCATGCAAATTTCCAAAGCAACTGTTTTTCTTACAAGAAAATAATTCTCATCCTTCTCCAGTCAGAGCAAGATTCTGCTTTTAGAAGTCCCTACTACAACAAAAAGTTTTTATAACGGCAATAAACTACTCCCTCTTTCAAACAGTTAACAGAGGAAAAGTTAACATATTTGTTGAAAGTTATCCCTTCCTCTGCTGCTTTTTACAATCTAGAATTAATAACAATATTATTTTACTCCATCTAGCACCAAAAAGTTTTAGTAGTAATATAATTAATGTAAATTATGAATAATCTGTGCAAGTTAGCATGTCTGAGTCTGGCAGCATCATTTAATTTGGAGCAGAAACAATTGCAATCCGGCATAAAGAAGCTGACAGATTGTAAAAAATATTTGTGGTGTGTAATATACAGCAACGGAGATCTGTCTAAACTCACCAAGGAATAGTAATAACTTCAAGCTTTCAAACTGTATTCCCAACTGCAATGAAAATAGTCTATGCCAGAATTAATTTTTTGCAAGTGTTGCACAGGCTCTCCCATTAGAAGATTTTCAATACTAATTACTGTGCTTAGTAATTGTATTAGTACAGTTTTAATAAAGTTCAAAGCACTTCGTAATTTGAAATGAGGGTTGCAAATTGACAACTTCAAACAATGCCATTTGTAGAAGGCACTGAACTAGTAACTTAAAAACTCAGCTAAAACATACTACAAAGTATATTTGCCTTGTAGACTTTTGGAAAGGACACTGCAGTAAATAGGTGATTTTAAACCTCAGAATGTGAAATATAGTTACTGTCCAAGTCTGTACCAGTTACTCTGTGACATAACTGCAATTCTCCCATCCTTTCCCATGTACTCACCATATCTGTGCTAACACCGGTTGAGGTAACCCAGATTGAAAAAAAAAGTTTCTAGCTTGATCACCTATAAAATAAATAGGACATAATTTCAGAAATGCTAAAAATACATGTGTAAGAAGAAAGATAAAATTATGAGTCAAAAATATCTAACAGAGAACCAACAGTAAAACCATAAATACTTAATGTTATACATACATAACAGAGTATGAGATTTAAACTTACTTTGTCACTTGCAAACCCACCAGATATTTCCAACGAGCACATACTATTTAAGTCTGCAACAGTCAGCACCACATGAAGTCAAATGGGCATAAACATTTAGGGCAATGGGAAACTCACAGTTCACAGTCCCTCATCTGTGTTAATGGCTCTCTGCAGGAATCATATGACTTGTGAGAACAAGAAATTTTTTTTCTTCCAGAGAACGTATGTATCAATATAAAGTCTATCTTAGATTTTATTTTTTTTTATAAGTACAATGCCAGTCAGATAGCACAAACTAAATAACATGGTCTTTACCCTGATGTGAACCTGATAAGTCACCATTAAAGAAAGCAATGGTATATAGCTGGAAAGCTGCCCAGTAGAAAAGGACCTGGGGGCGCTGGCTGACAGCCGGCTGAACATGAGCCAGCAGTGTGCCCAGGTGGCCAAGGTGGCCAACAGCATCCTAGCCTGTATCAGAAATAGTGTGGCCAGAGGGACTAGGGAAGTGATCGTGCCCCTGCACTCGGCACTGGTGAGGTCACACCTTGAATACTGCGTTCAGTTTTTGGGCCCTTCACTACAAGAAGGACATTGAGGTGCTGGAGCATGTCCAAAGAAGGGCAGCGAAGCCGGTGAGGGGTCTGGAGAAAAAGCCTGATGAGGAGCAGCTGAGGGAACTGGGGTTGTTCAGTCTGGAGAAGAGGAGGCTGAGGGGAGACTTTATTGCTCTCTACAACTACCTGAAAGGAGGCTGTAGTGAGGTGAGTGTTGGTCTCTTCTCCCAAGTATCTAGTGATAGGATGAGAGGAAATGGCCTCAAGTTGCACCAGGGGAGGTTCAGATTGGATATTAGGAAAAATTTCTTTATGGAGAGAGTGGTCAGGCATTGGAACAGGCTGCCCAGGGAGTCACCATCACTGGAAGTGTTCAAAAAGCGTGTGGACATGGCACTTTGGGACATGGTTTAGTGGGCATGGTGGTGCTGGGTTGATGGTTGGAGTTGACGATCTTAGAGGTCTTTTCCAACCTGAATAATTCTGTGACCCTATGATTTCAAAGTAATTTTCCAATTATCAATTAAAAGAAAGAATAGCAAAACAATTACAAAAGGATTAGGCACTTGAAAATGTTGTGGCCTATTGTTGTGGTTTAATCTGTAAAGTTGTAAACAGACTAGAAATAGCACTAAATATCAGAGGAGGTCAATAAAAACAGTAGTATTTTGTACCGTATCTGTCATGTAACAGGAGCAGAAACTATCAAATTGTATACTTGGAGGCATGTACAGCTGTGATGAGACTCTGCTAAGAACCCAATTCTGATTTCACACTCTGGAAATTCTCTTGACAGATTGGAGAGCAAGAAAGGTAAAGCACTTCTATACCTTTCATTTCAGCTACAAAAAAGTAGGCATCCTATTGCCTTTAAAACCAAAGCAAATTAGTGGTGTTCAATGAAAATTTAGTAGGATCAATGCAATTCCTTTACTTGCAGCTTTGCTTCCCACAACTTAAATCAATTTTGCCTTTTAGATTTTTAAAGAGGTCATCCACACTGATTTCACCAGTTTAAACAATCAGTTTCTGAAACATATTTCAGTTAAATTGATACATCTTTATTTAAACAGACTTCTTAACCTATTGGTATGTTAGCATGTTGGGTTGACACCAGTCAGAAACCAAGCACCCAGCCACTCACTCAATTCCCTCCCCACAGCAGGATGGGAAGAGAATAGAGAGAGCAAAAGTGAGAAAATTCAGAAAACTCACTGGTCACAATAAAGACAGTTTAATAAGTGAAAGAGTAGGGAAAAAAAACCCACGAAGTGATGCAAAGGTAATCACTCGCTACCTCCCTCAAGCTCAGTCTCTAAGCAATGGCCACCTTGGAAGACAACAGTCCTTGCCCCAGTTTTTGTTGAGCACGGTGGTATGGGATAGCCCTTTAGTCAGTTGGGGTCAGCTGTCCCTGTTGTGTCCCCTTCCCAACTTCTTGCCCACCTCCAGGCTACTTGCTGTGGGCAGTGCAGAGTAACAAACAGTGAAAGCCTTGAGGCTTTGCAAGCACTGTTCAGTCATAGCCAAAACATTGATGTGCTATCAACACTGCTTTAGTCACAAATCGTACAGGTTGCTATGAAGAAAGTTAATTCCATCTCAGTCAGACTCCATACAATGAGTTAATTCACTGAGCACACTAAAAGCGCTATAAATATTACCAGGCACCAGGGTGATTCCACAGCCTGAATTCTAACTCTACAGTTTATAAGTATCAGCTGGCTCTACACAATAGGACTGCTTTATAGAGCCACAGTTATAAATAAATTTAATCCCACTTACAGAAAAATCAAGTGGCATAAACCAGGTAGATAGCTGGTAAATATCAGAAAAATATCAGAAAGTATCAGAAAAGATGGGGTTCATGTGGCAAGGCATATGAAAAATGGGATATACAATGAGAAATATCTGTTCAATTTTTTAAATTCTTATGCCTAAATGTCTCCCAGGCAACTCTGTATATATTTAGGCTTGTTAGTTAAGATTTAATTAAATGGAATTAGAATTGAAAACTATTTCATTACCAGTGATAAATCCAGATGTTGGTTTCAGACTATGGAACTGCTGATCATGTTTAGCTCTCTCCTCTACAGTAATAGCCCAGATATCCAGGTTGCCTAGTTCAAAAGAAATTGAGAAATAAAATTAAGAAACAACTCCTAAAAACTACACCATTTTTATTTCTGAGTGTAATTATATCAAATCATGCTGGACAACATACACACAGAAGCCGTTCATCCAAAGTCTATATCTGAAAGCTCCATGAATCCTTCAGTAGCCAGTTAGGACTCATGAACTTAACAGAACTAAGTGTTACCAAATTAAAGTGAACCAGTCCTCAGCAGTCATCTGCCTGGCTCATACAAGTCTTAAGTTACAACTAGGCTACTTAAAGTGCAATCAGACTTACAAATGGATTATTAAAAGACAACATTGGCATACTAGACAGTATAATGCAAAAAGTTCATAACACTAGATATTTAAGGGGTGGGAGGCAATTTGCCTGTCAGAGCACATACAGCTGTAATACGATTCAAGTTCTTTTAACTGAAAAGGTACCTCAAAGAATCAGTTGAGTACTACGCAGTTTCGTACTATTATAAGAGAAGAACTCTTGTCTAGGAAAAGTGTGATTCAACAAACACTCTTCATGGGCGACAACAGCACAGAAAAACATGCTCATCATTCTTCTGACAACGAGAAATCTAAGTACAAATATGTTACATGGACCAGATTCTTTGCACCACACACACAAATTTGAGGTGATTATTTAGTCTATGTTGAGATTTACTACCCTTCTACAATGCCATGCTTCCACAATGCTTTCTCCAGTTCTACCTCCATTTCTGCAGCAGTTACTCTCCTCTCTCCCCTCTTGCAGACTTTTCACTTTCATCCTTCAAATCATTTGTACTTAGAGCAAACATATCTCAACTTCCACTTGAGACCTCCAATGAACCCTCTAACACTGTGTTTCAGGTTTGACTCAATAACTTCTAACCAGTAAAACGTCATGATTTCAACATCTGTAGAAGTGCATTATGCTGGTGCACCTTCCCGTAACTCCTACTGGACAGGAATGTAATGATACGAAGGCATCTAAGTTAATGGAATCGCTGTTTTACTGAAGTAATATTAAAAGATAAAATGTAGACTTGTAGAAAAATAAAGAGGAGATCTAGCATTCACTCTGTCTCAACACTAAATTCTCAGAGATTAAATTTCAGGTAATAAGGTCCACAAATATTTAGAGCAAATATTTCAAACTGCTTGCAGGCTGAGGCAGAATGAGACTCAGCAGTTACGAAGAATATGAGCATTTCCTGCCTCCTGAATTTCTTCTATTTAAAATCTACTTTCATGTGGCAAAATACATATTGGAGAGAAAACGAAATGCACAAGGGGAAGAACAGCATTCCTTTAAATGGCAGATTTCATTAATGAAAGAAAAGCTACATTCTTGGTTAAAAAAAATCATCTCAGTTTCAGATAACCTATATATTTCTAGAAGCAAGCAGGCTAATAATATCTAATTCAGAGAAAGCACATTTTAAGATTACTCCAAAAATCACAGAATTTTAGTGAATAAGCTCATAGAGGCACTGTAAACAGATTTCATAGCTGTGCTTCCTGTGGGAATGAAACAGGACTCCTCTTTGGATATGAACATCTCAAAACACAATAGTTCACGTAAGCAATTATCTCCCCCACCTTCTCATGAACTGACAGGAGGAAAGAAATGGTGTTAAGACTTTATGACCAATATGCACACTAGGCCAATTAGTCTAGACCAACTAAGAGCAGATGAATGTCTCCCTGTATTGGAAACAAGACTAATCCTGGTATCTGAGGCAAACTGAAAGCTCTAGTGTGCTGGTAGGTAGGAGTTAACAATACCATAAAGGTTACAGGATTAGAATGAAAACGGATCTGGTGCTCAAGAAGATGAAGAAGCATTTGTACTTAAGCAGTAAACTATGAAGACTTAGATGTTCCTGCACTCTTGAAAAATGTAACTGACATGAGGTTAGCAGAATCCACAGTAACTGGAGTAAAGATACAGGTGGCAGGAGGAGATCACAACCACAGACTCAATTGAGGGACTATGCAAATTACACCCCCACTCTTTCCAGCAGCATGCGCGCCAAATTAAATATGTGTAACCAATAGTAAGCAAGGTGGTAATTGCTATCCAAGGAATGTAAACGCATTCTCTATCGTTTTCACTAATCGTGTAACAGGATAAGTATGTGGTGATTCCTCTGTGTGGTGTGCTAGCTTTGTGGAATACCATGTAGCACCCATATCTGCACAAATATGCTGTAAATGAAATACCTCTACTCTGTGTGTATATTGGAGCATTGCACACCGGGTATATGATCCCACTTTTGGGACAACACTCCACACTAAGGTCCTAAGGCTGGATGCGGTAGATTAGACAAAGAGGGAGAATTTCTTTAATATAATGTGTGGAGAAAAAAAAAAGTCAGCATGAAATTTGCAATAATTAGCTGGCTTGCTCTCTCTCAGTTTGAGGTATGCATGATTCCAGTACCAAAAAAACCCCACAGAAAACTGACAAAAAACCCCAAACCCCTAAAAACACAACAAAAAACCCACCTCTTCCTATCCTTCCCCAAAAGAAGGCAATAAAATGCAGAACTAAAAACTCTTATGGCATGAGGTAAGTAAAAATGTATTCTATTAACTATTTGTAGCTGGAACAAATGATTGTCAATATTTACTCTTCCTGATGGAGATTTGGTTGGTATTGAAAAAGTAGATTTTCTTTGTGGGATACGAACATGAAAAGAACCAATGTTAAACCAAGCAAGCCTAGTAGCCTCTTCAGTTAGAAAAGTATGAATGGCATCTTTGGCATTGCCTTGTTTCCATCTTCTGTTATTTAAGGAAACAATAAAACTAATGGGAGGGCATGAAGCACAATCTAAGCCAACACCAAGACATCATTCATGGCTTCAGATCCTGGATGCCAAGACAGACATTGTGGGGCTTTTCAATATATTTGGATACAAAGGAGGTAGTCACCAAACCACAAAACTGCCTCATAAGAAAGCTATTCTTGAATGCAGCAGCAAGCCCTCTAACCATCTTTTCTTTTACATGGGTTAGCAATCACCTCATCTGCAAAAATGAAGCAGCATGCTCTCATACATTAAATGGGCATTTTCTTCTCCTGGACAAATCAACAGAAGGTCAAACATACCACATTATTCCCAACAATTATAAAAATCCTACCATGCATATTCTTTGGTTTTTTAATTAGTCATCCTTAAAATGAGCAGTGTTCTGGAATATCAATGAGTAACCCCAATTTAAATGGTGGGTGCTGTGCTGTTTCCTTGCCCATTTCCCAAGCTGACTTGAAAGATTCTTTCAAAAGAAAAGAAGTGAAATAAAACCAAAACCACCATTATTGGTATTCACAAGCAGATGGATACCAGATAACGCACAGTTGGAGTGAGGGCCCTCTCAGGATGGAAACTGCATAATTCTTCTCTTCTGCATCTTGTTCAGTGACAGGTAACTGAAAATGTTGCATTCTCGAAAGGATGATACAATTCCCCATAAAAATTGGAAACTTCGTTATACCATTTGTTTCCTCTTACAACAATCTTAGACTTTTGCTGTCATTCATCTCAGAGGAGATATGATGCTACTTGGTAGACTTGGTTCAAGTATGAATATCATAACGAACTTCCCTCACACCGCATTACAAATTAAAGATATTTCAGAAACTACATTAGCCACATGCTTATTTCAACTTTCTCATAGTACAGCAGTCAGATGAGAAAAGTTGTCTGAGGAGAAAGCATGAATTCCTTCCTAAAGCCGTGTAACTAGAGTTAACAGGATCTGGACAGCATATGCAAGACCAAATGGTAACATATAAAGTTGAAAAGAGAAAGCTGCTATCCATCTGTAATACAATGAGAACTCTCTGATGATGGCAGAGGAGAATGCTTTGAAGACGAGATTTCCATTAAGAATGTATACACTTGTTTAAATATGGGTGCATGCAAAGCACAGCCCTAACTCTAAACAAAAGGAAATACTTCAGTCTGAACGAGCAGATTTCATTCACATCATGACTTCTCTTAGATTGTGAAAACTGGGGTGAAATGAAGCTATTCACAACTTTTTATACGACCTAAAAGGGTATCCTACTTGAAACTGTCCAGTGAAATCATTTGATCAAACCTTTTGGTAGCCCGTTTTGCCCCCAAACTGAGAAAACTGAGAAAGTCTGGCACCAAACAAGATTTAATTCCAGAGGGCTGGACTTAAGGCTAACTGAGGAAATGAATGGCAGCTTCCAATTATATGTTTGTTCCAGTTACCACATGCAGAGAGATGCTTCTTCTGTTGTGCTTCATGGATGTTTTCAGACTGGCAGTTTAACAGAAGAAGCATCTCTCTGCATGTGGTGCTTCATGGATGTTTTCAGACTGGCAGTTTGCATCCTATCAATCGTGTTTAACAAGAACTGGGTTTCTCTAACATACTCAGAGTAACATGTGTGTTTCCTGAATTTTCCCACCAAAACACTAACACTAGATACAAATTTAATTCCTACCTAGATCCAATCCCAAAAACTAGACTGCCATATATATGTATACACATACAAAAATATGCATACACACCACTTTTTTTGATGTGTATGCATATTTATGTGTATATATACAAACATGCATATATACACAACAAGAATCCTATCTGCATCTGCAGAGAAAAGCCCTTAACAGATGCAACAGTTAAGTGGAAACAAACTGGCTACTAGTTCTCAGCACTGAAATCTATCTTTTAATCTTTCTTCAGATAGATTGCAAAAATGGGCACAAAAACGTATTTCATGTGAATAGCAAAAAGTAATGTCTCTATTGCACTACCAGGGCTCTTCGTGGATCTTCCAAAAAAGTTGAGATTCAAGATGCTATACCTTCCCCTCTTATAAATGGAGAGCTAAAAAATTCAGCACCTTTGTTCTAATCTAAACATGCGTTATGGGACGATATGAAAAAGAAATTTGAGGTAATAGCATCCAAAGGCATCTTCTGTACTTGTTAGCAATTGAAAAGTCCAGGAATCCTCAAAGAAAAAGCATATCCACTTCTCAGCCACAACTAGTGCTTATAAAGTGAGAATTTATAACATTTAAATAGCATTTTAGGATTTCCTCTGAAAAAATGTGAAAAAAGCAGGCATGACTGAGCAGGGAAGCTTAAGACAGGCAAATAAAACTGGGTAATTGCAGAATGAGGCTATGCCCTACTCTCAGTGGCTGAGTGGCCTGGCTCTGCCCTGCAGTTACAAACTATAGGACTGTAATGGATCAATGCACAAAAAGGGATACAGCTCAGCTTTTCTGTTTGACTTTTCTGAGATTTCTCTGCAAAATTTCATGTGCATTCTCTAATAGGTCTGCAAAAAGATCACAAATCAGATAAACTATCATCTCAGAAAGACATACTCCCATAAATACTATCCATACAGAACATATTTGGAAAGCAACGCATTTATGCAGAATTTTTGCAAATAACATTAGTTCAGAATACACTATAAACAACTTACCCCCAAAAGGTGTTGGAAACTGAGCCATGGTTCTGGCACTTTTAGCTTGTTAATAGATGCCTGGAAAAGGAAAAAACCACAATAAAATACAGATAATCAAACAGTTACAGTATCTTCCATTTTCAACATATTTCCTACCACCACACAATCAATTAGTACAGCTAAAAATAAAGGCAATGAAGTAGGATCATATAAATACTACCTGCAGGAACTGTTACTCAGAAAAGAACTAAATGTCTCATTTTTTGCACTATACTATGCATCCACGAGTGCAGTTTCATACTTGCAAAAAGCTACATTTCAGTTCTGTTTCAAGAATGTCCTCAAAACCAATCTTCACTTATAAATAATCAGTGATGTAGTAAAGAACAGAGTTATGTCAGCTACAACAGACAAGATCTCTGTGACACTGCTCAAGGCTGCATTACTTTACTGGGTGTTAGGGCTCTGCTCCTACTTAAGAGCAAAATTGGCTGTATTTCCAACTGTTGAAAACATACAACATTGCCAACGATCTGTTTTTTATTTCTGACAGAAAAATTCATGAAATGCGCTGTCTTGCTTAGAGTTCTTTGTTTTAAACAAAGTACATTAAAAAATGAAACTAGATTTCAAGACTGCTTACCCCAAAACTAGCCCACAAATTTAATAAGCACATCCAAATGAAAAAAGTGCTAAAGGTGACATCGCAAGCAAAAATACATTAGTTGACAGGAGATACTCTTAAGTTAGCACTGCTTGCTGTTCAAATAAAAGCAATCTACACAGTCTAGAAGCCTAATCTTTAAAGAAAAAAGGAAAACATTTTTCTTACTCCACACAAAGACTGACATGAACTGCCTGAGCCAAGAGGACAATAGCTAGCAACAGAGCCACAAAACAATGAAAAAGCAGCCTCTTGTCCTACTAGATTCCACTCATGTTTTCCAGGCAACAGGAGAAAAGAAAAAGGAAACAGAATCAGGAGGAGAATAATTTAGACTGCTTGAACAGCAGCAGAAATTTATCAATATCACTAAGAAAAGGCATTAACTTGCATCACCAATTTCCTTTTGTCTGAGTTTCTTGTTTGCTCCCCTCCCCATCCCCCTTTCACACTTCCCACATACTCTTCTGGCTTCCAACTTGGGAACCTACTATATATACATTCCACAGATGTCACTGCAGAAAAACCTACAGCACTTTTGTAAGCCAGTCTCCCCATCAGTTGTAGTTTAGAGAACTATGAAAAAAATACTGAATTTTTTCTCATCATTTGGCAGAGCAACCAAGCGTGGTATATGACTCAGAAACCTTCTTCCAAATGCCAGGTAACACAGCTGATATGCACATGCAAGTTTTCATGCACAGCAAGTTTTATCTCAAAAGTTTAACATCACATGCATACTGATAGAGTGTTTTCAGAATAAGCTATCTTAGTAGTACAGCTCTTTCAAAAGCATTTAAGTGCTAGAAGATCAGCACTTTAATCTTTGCTTATGTTTTCTTATTGTACTCTGTTGCAGGCAGTACCTCTATTGTGCTTCTATTTTTTAAAACTGTAAGCAAACCCTAGGAAAAAATAAAGAAGAGTCCTCTGAGCTTCCACACATGTATTATTGAATCTTACAGCATAGGCAGTTTTTACACTCAAGTGTTAAAAAGATAACAAGAGAAAGACCAGCGGAGCACAGCTTCTCTTCCTTCTTCAATTTCCCAGAGTACGCAGAAGGACAGGAAAAGAAGTTGGGGCAGCAACAGGAGGACAAGAGACTTGCAAAGGCGAACTACAGGGTGGGTTGTTTCATTTTGTTGTTTTGGTTTGGGTTTTTTTTGCAAGCTAAGAAAACTTAAATATGGCAAATACTGAGACAGAAGAGTGCATAAAAGGACTGAAAATGTTTAGCCACTTAAGAGAAGATACTCCTCCACAGCTTACTAGTACTCCAAAGGAATTGATAGTTTATTCCTTCTTTACCTTGAAAACATCAGAAAGAGGAGAGGGAGTGGGAAGTCTCAAAACTAACCCTGTCCTGGATGCCGCAGAAAGCATTAAACCATTATAAAGATTTTGTGAAGAGAATGAGAGGAAAAAAAAAAAAGGCAGTAAGCAGATTAAATAGTGATGGGTAAAATGGAGAAAAGGAGCAGAAAGCTATGTTTAAACTCGAGAGACTGCAAAACTAAATAAAATAGACTGCAGACAGACATACAATAGGAAGCAAACAGAGGGAGAGAAAGATAAACACACTCCAGTAAGAGACTAATTTAAGTTTGCTATTTATTGCAAATGTAACACCCAACTTCCATAACCAGAGGTTTCATTTCACAAGCCCAAGGTGATACCAGGGACCCTAACTCTGCAGGAATTGAACTTTGCAACTGTGGACAGTTGATTCCAACAGGGTTTGTTATATATGAAAACGGAGGTTAAAAGAGATCAGGAATTTCACAGCATTCTAATACTGACTTCATAGTTTTTTTGTTTAAGTATCAAAGAGCTGGAGAACCTACCCTGTGACAAAAGACTGAAGGATTTAGACAGAAGGTTCAGAGGGGACCTCTTCACAGTAGTCCAGTACTTAAAGGGTGGCTACAAAGAAGACAGAGGCTTTCTTTTCACAAGGAGCCACATGGAGAAGACAAGGGGCAATGGGTACAAGTTGCACCATGACAGGTTTCTTCTCAATATAAGAAAGAATTTTTTTACAGTGAGAACAATCAATCACTGGAACAACCTCCCCAAGGATGTGGTAGAGTCCCCATCACTAGAGGTTTTCAATATGCAGCTGGACAGGGTGCTAGATAATATCATCTAGGCTCCCTCTCCCACAGAAGGTTGGACCAGATGATCTTTCAAGGTCCATTCTGACCCAGGCTGTTCTATGAGTCCATTTTTTGGGTTGAAGATATCTGGGATGGAGACCAAGTATCATTTATCTGAAAAGCATCTGGCATGGTCATTCTGTGATAAATTTGCCATATATTTGTAAATTGTTGTAATGGAAATACAAGCACTGACATTTCAATTTGCAACATTATTTTGAAATAGTAACAAGTTGTTCTAGATACACATTCCTTGTACCCTAATCTCTACCAGTCCGCAATAGCGTTAAACCCTCTGTCTTCCTTGTTTCTCCCAACATACTCAACAAGAACGAACGCATAGTGGGACAAAACAAAAGTTGTGTAGGAACCAACAACCAGAATGCTGACAGAAAAACAGAATGGGTAAACTGAGCTCTGTGCCATTACCTTCAGGAAAGCAGTAATTTCTCTCTAACCAACGATACTCATATTTGTAGGAACGTAGGTATCAGCAATTTTTTGAGCTCTAACAAGTTCAACTGACATTGACCAATTAGTTCAGAAATTATTCAAGCAGGAAGAAGGACAGACAATAAGGGGAACCACAACTGCACTGTCGGTCAATCATATGCACTGTTGCCTTAGAAAGCCAGCCCAAAACTCTTCGCATAAGCAAAATTACGCTAGTAATCAACTGTTAAATAACAGTCCATCAAATAGTTTATTTTCCGTGAGAATCAGAAGATGCGACAGATATTTCATACTGCTTTTAGAAAGAACAATAAAAACCATTGAGCTACTCACCTTCACTTGTCCACAAAAACACTTAAGCCATCACCACACTGAGATTTGACAAACAGATGCAACATTAAACACTTCCTTCTGACATACATCACTTAATCTATAAACAACAGAGATACACGTATCTAATCTCATACACACAAATAAACCACTAAACACTACAATCATTCAAAAGTTCTGTACTTCTCTACTCCCCAGAAAAGGCATAGACACCAGCTTTCAAGTTCACAGTGCAGTAACCACATCAACAATACTGCATGCCCTCTCCCGACAAAAGTCTGTGCAGCACCAGAACATGTCTATGTTCTCAGGTCAGTGAAAGCAGCATAGTGAACAAATGATGTTCCAGTGGATCAATAATTTGCAAATGCACACAACCCATTATATATGTCTGCTCCCTGTAATTCTTTTCTGCTCAGGATTACTGTACTATGTTGTTATGAGCAGGCAGAAAGGATGCTGGTTGTCAGCATTGTGCCAGTTTCACTCAACATCTACTGTGTTCAGGGGTTTTAACTCTCTGTCACTTCGGAGGTGGAAAGCCCAAAAAGTCTGGGAGTGAACATTTCCAGCAAGGAAAGCGGGGAAAGAGGAGCATGTTATGTCTCAAAAATAACGGGGTCAACAAGACCAGATAAGCCTACATTTTTCAGTCTGAGGACCGATGCTATTTCTCAGACCTAAGGAGATGGACAATACTTGCAGGTAGGTTCTCAGCCCTCATTGTCTTCCACTGTGGCAATCCTACGGGAAAAAAATACAATCCTCCCATTCATGATCTCCCATGGACATCCGTGTACAACGAGGCTTTGCCCAAGCCTGAGCATGAGGGATGATGAAATGTCATACTGGCACATGAACGTAAAGTGTAGAACAAATATCAGGACCAAGGCATTCAGATAGGCAAAACTTCTATATTCTGTAGAAATAGAACTTTCATAATCTACACAATTCTTTTTACACACACAGAGAGTGTTAAAACATACATTTAAAATGCATACGTTAGTTTATGAGAAAAATTTGCTTACACCCAGCTCTGAGCGAGGGAGACAAGGAAATGCCCAGCCATCTCAGCTGTTAGTACTCTCTTCTGTTTTATACTATTCTAGATAAGACCAGAAATATTTTATTTCCCATCCCTCCAAATCATTTACTCCCTTCTCACAAACCAATATTCCATATACAAGTAGTACTCTCTTTTATATATACAAGTACTCTTTTAACATTCTGCTCCTTTTAAACTTAGAGGGCTTTCTTATTCATAGCTATTCATATAAAGGTAAAATTTCAACTTATACATAGACTAACTCCATATGTACCTAAGCCCAGATCATATCTAAATTCAAGTACTGATGTCTTATCTAAGTTTTTACCCTGAAAAAATGATCAGGTTGAAAACAAATATACTCACAACATTTATGCATAAGTCAGACATGTACA